TCACAGAGTATGGGAGAATCAGTATGGATGCATAGATTCATAGAGTCTGAAGGGATCCAATGGATCATCATATCCAACCCCCTACCCCTGGCAGGAAACAGGATCAAGGTCAAACAACCCCAGCCAGGTGATTATCAATCTTCTCTCTTGGAAGCTTGTTCCAGATTCTGGCCACCCTTATTGTAAAAAATGTCTTCCTAGTGTCTAACCTAAATCTACTCTCCACTAGTTTGCATTCATCATTCCTAGTTACTCCCTGAGGTGCTCTGGTAAACAGCGCATCCCCAATTCCCTGCTGTCCTCCCCTGATAAATGTATAGGCCGCCACAAGGTCACCCCTCAGCCATCTTTTGTATAGGCTGAAGAGATCCAGATCTCTTCTCATAGGGTTTTTCACAGAGACTACTAATCATGCAGGTGGATCTCCTCTGAACCCTTTCCAGATCCTCCATGTCCCTCTTGAAGTGCAATGCCCAAAACTGGACACAGTATTCCAACTGTGGCCTGACCAGTGCTGCATAGAGGAGAAGCATCACCTCCCTCGATCTGTTGGTCATGCACCTGCTAATACACAATGTGTGATTGGCTTTGTTGATGGCCTCATTGCACTTCCAGCTCATGTTCATTTTGGACTCAACTATGACTCCAAGATCTCTCTCAGCCTCTGAGCAGCTGAAGAGGACATCCCCCAACCTGTAGGTGTGCCGGGGATTCCTCCTTCCTAGGTGGAGTACCTTACATTTATCTTTGTTGAACTGCATCCTATTACGTTCCACCCATTGATCTAACTTGTCCAGGTCAGCCTGTAACTGCTCCCTGCCCTCTGGTGTATTAACTTTGCCCCATAATTTGGTATCATCTGCAAACTTGGAGAGGGTGCTCAACACACCCTCATCCAAATCACTGATGAAGATATTAAATAATACCAGCCCAAGGACCAAACCCTGTGGGACCCCACTGCCCACCTCCTTCCAGGCTGAAAATGACCCGTCAACCACCACTCTCTGTGTACAGTCCCTAAGCCAATTAGCCACCCACCTGACTGTGTTGGCATCCACTCCACAGCCCGTTAGCTTCCCTATGAGAATAGGATATGAAACTGTGTCAAAGGCCTTCCTAAAATCCAGGTAGAGGACATCAGCCTCCACTCCTGTGTCAAGACAGTGTGTGACCTGGTCATAAAAGGTGCACTGGTGGGAAGGCATATGGCATGGCAGGGGAGCACGTGACACAGTGTGTAAGGTTTGGGAGTGCTGACATGATTCAGAGAGGGAGGTACCCATGGTGATGTATACTACCCACATGGAAATGTGCAGCATGGGGCCTGGGAGATGTGTGACCCCCAGCCACGTGGAAGTTAGACAGCCCTAGACTAAAGGACTTCTCAAAGTCCCATCCAGTCCTACTTTCTATTATTCTATTTTCACAGAATGCATTAATACATGGAGCTCTAATGAAAGAACAATTGTGAAGCCTTCTGAGCTGTAGAACTAGATGCTATAAAAGGCATGCTTACCTAAAAACGGGTTCAGTTTGTAGCAGAAGCCAATATTAAAATGGGAAGAATGTTCTGATGAAGCCATGAAGACAAGGGAGAGAAGAGTAGAGAGGTCAAGTATGATGCAAATTATTTTAATGTTTTTTAATGAGGGAAATAGTGATGTCACCTGCTCTGAGTAGGGGATAGCTTACTCAAAGGCAGCAGAAACTTCTGTTGATATCAAGCACCCAAGCTTATACCCCATTAAAAGGGTGCCTAGCATCAGAAAAAAAATCATTTCATCAAAAGAAATGGAAGCTGAAAATGTGATTCTGATGTACAAACATAGGGCATGCTGCCATCAACAAAGGACTAAATTAATTGCACTTGAAAGAACTTAACATTTTCAAAAAGAAGGGTCATTTGACAGCAAAAAGTAATGCAAATTAAAAAGTATTAAGGAAAGAAATAAAAAAAATAGGAAAACTTTGCAAAATGAAGGGAAAAATTAGATGACATGTTCTTATTTATACTAAAATTTAAATTAGAAGCTGACATGTCAAATAAAAGGTAGATTAATTGAGCTAAAATGTACTGTAATGCAAGGTAAATTGATGGTTTGGGGAAAGACGCACATCCACACATGGAAATAGTGTTAATGGCTAAGGGACCAGGCATAGAGGAACTCTATGAAAAATGCTATGGCAGTGATTCTCAACTGGGATTCTATGAGATCTTTCTAAGGGTGCCATGGGATGCTGAATGATATTAGCGCTGTTCCATGTGCAAATACATGATTCACAAACTAAACCCAGAGATTTCAAATAGGAATCTCTTCAAATATAAAATCTTTTCGACCAGTTGTGGTTTTTCTGAGTTCTTTGCTCTATTATTTTTCTACAGTGAAAAACTAAATGAAAGCTTAGAGGTGACTTTTTCTGAGGGGTGCCTTGAATCTAAAAAGGTTGCGAACCTCTTCCATATGTGTTAGACACTGAATGCCACTTGGTGAAGTTTGGATTCCTCTGGTAATTATGTGCCTCTAGGACCCTCCATACTAATCATTGTGAGAAAATTGCTAAGGTTATATGACATGATATCTTCACTCAAAATCTCTGTAATTTTGCTCTAACTGAGGGGTTAGACTTCTTGTGGTCAAATAGATCCAAGGTAACTTACTGCATCAGGATGTCACACAGCAGATGTGCATTGGTAAGACCAATGATTTAAAGAAACCCAACTATGTGAAATTCTGCTTCACACGGTTAATCATAAAGTATATGGCTGCTCAACATATTCCTTTCCTAGAGAACTTTGTATGGTGTATCCTCAAACTCTTGACTGGTTATCAAAACTCAAAAGTTGGTTGTAGCTATTGCTGTTTTACATTCTAGAAAGAAATATGCATATATTGAGTTCTTAAAAGAAAATACTGTATATTTGATGCATCACACAATAGAAAATAGCATTTGAAATATTTGATTTTGCACAGATGCAGACATGTACTTGACATATTTTTATTGGTAAACTTCTGCTGATCATATGACTAACTGATCCTATATTTTTTGGTCGGTGGCAGTTTTGATACGTACCAGTTTCCAAATATCAACATGTAGACATAATTATTTTGTAGAAATATTAATTGTAATAAATGTAACGCAGAATGGACAATTGTAACAGTATGCAGTCATACAAAAGTATGAAAGACCAAGGAGCCTACTCATGAAAGGCATAAAGAAACTCAAAAAGATACGTGCCCAATACCCTTATATTAAAAAGGAAGGAGCAAGCAAAATTATGCTCCTAAGGAGGAGTTTCCTATAGCACCTAAAATTAAGAAGGGGATTTAATCTAGAAAAGTGAACAATCCCTTCAGAATGACTGTAGGTTGCAAGTGGCATGTATTTCATTCTGCTATATTTAGGAAAGCAAGACTTTCTTCTACTGAATGCCTGAACTTTAGGTTTTTATAACCTTCACTAACACAAGCAGTATGAAAGGCTATCATACCTTCCTGTAATTCCAAAGACCTAGTTAGAAAGAACACATGCCTCTCCCCCATTTATAATAATCATAATGCACATGCCTTTAATGTCTTATTAGCAGGTTTTATTTGCAAAAGTGGTATCAATAACGGAAATGGGATTTTTTGCCAGAATAAAAACTAAATGAAAAAATGCTCTGCAGCTTCAGATTCATGGATATTATCTTTTGATTTGAGGAAGAGCACTCCAGTGACCCTAGTTAAGCAGACTCAACTGTAAATTCATAAGCCATAACTGCATTCCAAAGTAAGTTTTAAAAATACCCTCGTTTTAAAAATGATTTTATTAAGGGTGATCTAGTTCAATTATTTGAAGGCCAAGTACAAAATAGGAACAAACACAAAGTGTATTCTAACCACTTCAGAAAAATCCCTTGAAGTAAAGAATACTTATTCCCTCCCCCACCCCCTCACACACACACATTCAAAGGAATTTTAGTATATTGACTTGGAGTCATTGAACTTATCTTTCATAATTATACATTATATTAGAGGACATTTCTTTCAGTTTACTCAATGGCTCTTTATTTGCTATTGGGTAGGATAGAAACTATGGCTCACCTCGTTCAAGGCTTCAACAAATCTGTTCCTCCATAGCCATATTTTCTTGTTGAGGTTTTTGTGGCATCCTACCTACCCTTTGGTGGTCTCTTAAATGGAAGGCAAGGTAGCCATTCACCTTATAAACTAATTAAATCAGAGATGCATAAGCTTTCATGAGACGGAGCACACTTTATCATATATTGTGAAAGGAGAGGACACAGCAGTCTATCAAACAGAAGTGATACACACTTTCTCCATTGTCTGGCCACATTATGTTCTTATACTCTCCGATTTGAAGTTTCTCCTCAAAAAGCCCTGTGCTTTGCCACTCGCAAGGAACCCTGTTCTTTTGGTGTCCTGTCATGTTTGCCAGGATCAATGGAGCCAGGAGCACTCACTTAACAAGTTACTATAGGCAGATTAGAGTCACCCCGAGTATCCCTTGCAGTCGAAGGCCTCGGGCCAAGGGTTAAGGCAGTAAAGTGGCCAGGGCAGATGGTAGATCAGAGCCGAAAGGTCCCAACACAGCTGGGGCAGAAACCATGGCATGGCGGGGATCAGGGAGGAGCAAACAGCAGCAGGGAAAGAGTCAGGCAAGAACAAGGTAAAGGCCCAAGAAACGCATACAGAGCGAGAGCACTGTCGTTGCTAAACACGCACATACTTTATAGCACGTGCACGCGCACCTTCCCCCATTATTGCCAGGACAAGGTCCTAGCCTTAGCACTTGCAGTCACGCTCGCTCTGACAAACCCGAGCTGGCCCCCACGCTGAGTGCCCATCTCTCAAGGGCGACCCCGCCAACCAACAGAAGGATACCCAGCCGGCTCCCCCGCCCACTCCCACAAAGCAGAAGCCGAACGTGTCCCGCATGCGCAGTAGAGCAGACACCCTGCGCATGCGCTGGGGAGAAAGGCATAAGTGAGCGGCGGCAGCTTGGCGGGCGTGTGCGCATGCGTGAGTGCGGCGTCTCGGGGGCGGGGCCCAGTTTGAAGCGGGTGGCGGGGACGCGCGCCCATGGCCAAGCAGCAAAGCCGGGAGCAGGGCATCACCCTGCGGGGCAGTGCCGACATCGTCGCCGAGTTCTTCTGTGAGGAGTCCCCGGGGCCGGGAGGGAAGAGCGGGCGTTACTGCCCGCGCGGGGGCGAAGGGGCATCGGGACGCCCCGGTGCCCCCCGCCGCCATGTTCGATCTCGTGGGGGAGGGAGGGAGGGACAGAGCCAGGCCGCGCCTGCGCACTAGGGGGAAAGGGGCTTGGTCACCCGCTCACCTGTCCCCCCTCTTCTCTCCCGTGGCACATGCGCGGCAGCCTACGGCATCAACAGCATCCTGTACCAGCGCGGCATCTACCCGCCCGAGACCTTCACCCGCGCGCAGCAGTACGGCCTCACGCTGCTCGTCACCGCCGACCCCGAGCTGCAGCGCTACCTGTGCAGCGTCGTGGACCAGCTCAAAGGTGCGGGGGGCGGTGGAGAACAGGGAGTAGACTCCGGGCGGGGCTGGGCCGAGCTTTGCTGCCATCTCCCCCGCTGAGCCCTTGTTCCCGGCTCACCTTTGCAACCTCAGCTCACTGAACAGTTGAGTCTGGTTTGCTGCCCAAGCTTGGGTGCTGCAAAGATGAGCTTCGAGAATGTGCCCGGGGTGAAGGAGCTGACATTTCTCACCCACGTTGCACCAGTGAGACAGGCAAGATAGAAATGCCCCCCATAGCAGGAGCAGGATTTGCATCCGTTCAGGGGTTTGGAGCAAGTCATGGGAGGAGCCATGACTAAAAACAAGAGATCGGGTTTCTCCTTGGTTAGCCCAGGATTCGACAGGCTGAAAACGGATAACAGGTTTAATCCGGGGCTGGTTAGCACCAGTTGAAATGGGCATTTAACGCACCTTTGTAAGGTTTGCTGGGAGCCACAATGTTCAAATCCCCCCATCTGCGATCCCAGGGCAGCTCCAATGACTTGCCAGTCAAGCTGCCTGGGTAAGGGCTGCCCTGTGCCTGTTTTGATGCAGGACCATCAGAATGGGATAAACCCAAGGTCTGTTTTTACACAGTTGCTCTTTTTTTCCTGGTTTGGACTCACATCAGTTAGGACCAGCCTAAATCTGGGTTTAAAAATCCAGTTCATCCTGCCCTTTAAGTTTGACCTTCTCCCTCGCTGACACTTACCTTTCTTACTCCGCCTTTTCAATTAGCTGCTGAGTTAATTTTAAATTGAGGCTTCTCAGTATCATTATTTTGCTTTGTAAACTGCCCAAGTGTTAATTCAGGGCTGATCAAGTCTCATCTACTTAAGCACTGCCTTTTGCTGGCTTAGAGGGTCTCTTTTTTTCTGATAGCTTTTTCTCCTATTTCTAGACTGGCTGTACAAGTGTTCGGTACAGCGCCTGGTGGTGGTCATCTCTAGTATTGAAAGCAACGAGGTCCTCGAGCGGTGGCAGTTTGACATAGAGTGTGACAAAACTGCAAAAGATGAGAGGTAAATGTAATGAACTGCACCATTGCAAATTTTTGCCCTTCCTGCTGGCGCCTCTGACAAACGGCTAATGCAGGTGGGAGCTCCTTGCATTCACTCTGGCACTTCAATATATGAAGCATTTTCTTTGCACTTTTGTTTCAAGATGATCTGTGTCAATTTCTTAAAGCATCTGGGTGGTGGGGAGACATGTCTCTGAGGGTAATTATACTTCACTAGTAAATATTCTATATGTTTTAAACCAAGTGAAACAATTTGATCTTGGATGCATGTGTAATTCATACCTGCAGTACAAGCCACAAACAATGGAATTTTCTGTAGATTTTTGTGTTGTGAACCTTTTCAGTCTTATAAAATTATTAATGCATTTAACTGCTCCTCTGCTTACATCATGCTTCTATTTGGTATTAGTTGCTTTGCTAGGAACATTATCATATTAACTCAAAATTGCAGGGAGACTCAGGGCAGGGCTTAAAACTACAAACACTGTGTAACACCACACAGAGCAGTACTAAAATTTAAAAAAAGACTTTGACTGAATTTTCAAATCCTGATCATCCAGACTGTTTTGTTACACTGTTTATCCCATTGAAACTTCCAGTTTTTGAAACAGAAACTGTTTCACAACTTATGCTAAAGATAAAACTGTATTTGGAGAAACTTTCCATGTATAACAAAGCCTCCTTTCTTCTCTGTTAAAAGAACTTCTTGTTTCTCTTGTAGTGCACCAAGGGATAAGTCTCAGAAAGCTATTCAGGATGAAATTCGATCTGTTATCAGACAGATAACTGCCACTGTAACTTTTCTGCCTTTATTGGAAACCTCTTGTGAGTAGTCTGAATTTTTGTATTTACTCAGACCTGAGTGAACAACTCATCCCTGACATGAGATTGCCAGCTTCCAATCTGAATAATATACTATGTATAGATTTAAATACTAAGTACTCCTGCTTTTTGAAGCCAAGGATATTAAAAAAAATCACTTGAGTAGAGTTCTTTCTTCTTCAACTGTGTACAGGATGGATACGTGTTTAAATGTTTTAAACTTCCAGTATTTTACGTGTGCGGTTACATTTTTGGAAGTGGGGTGGGAATTGGCAGCATTCTTTAAAAAAGAGTATTCAGGGGCACACACTGAACAAAGTACCAGAATTCCCTTAGTCTGCACCATCCTACTGCAAGCTTGCTGCCAGATCCACATTTATCTGGGGATTGGGAGTGTGTAGTGGCAAGGGAGGGCACAATAAGAGGGCATAAGATTCCCCAAACCTGGTGGGCAGCACTGGGCCAGTGATATTCAGGGTCAGGGATTGCAGCATTGCAAGTAGCAGTCTGCCTTAGGGCTGAGCCTTGTTACGTTAGCCTACCCTTTGCAAAAGGCAACTGAAAAATAACTGGTCTCATCATAGCAAAAACGTTAAGCAAAGCGCCCCTACGTAGTTTAACATTGATATGACTTGTATACAGAGTAAAACAGAGTTGTTCTTTTGAAATAAATACTTCAAACCTGCTACTGTGTGCACTATAGTAACTATTGCACAAGGAATCCATTTTTCTCGAATGCTAAGAGTCTTCCTACCTTTAAAAAAAATTGAAGGCTTAGCTCCTTTTTGAAGACTTCTGATATCTGGCTGTTGGTCCTCAGGATAAACAAAAGATCAAAATGGTTATGTATATGAGGGGAAGTTGAGATTAAACAGTTCATGCTGTTTTATTTTTAGCTTGATGGAGTGTGACATGGTGAAGTAGGGTTTAGGGGAAGTTTTTGGAAAGCAGGCCTTCTCACAAGTTAGAATAGATCTTGTGCAAATTAACAGTCTGTTTGAAATATACATAACCATTCACTGCTTACCTTTTACCTACAGGTGCCTTTGATTTACTGATTTACACAGATAAAGATTTGGTAGTACCAGAAAAATGGGAAGAATCAGGACCACAATTTATTGCCAACTCAGAAGAGGTGCGTCTTCGTTCCTTCACTACCACTATCCACAAAGTAAATAGCATGGTGGCCTACAAAAAGGATTCCTTTCCTTAATTAGGGAAATGTTGTTGATGTCTATAAAAGGTCTTTAAAAGCTGCCAATATGAACAGTAACTGCATCCTTAATAGGGTTTCTATATTTTGTATCTCAGTTTGGAATTAGAATAACAGCACAAAGCAATCATTTATTCATGTTAATACTGTGCTGATGTCATACTTGTCAAACCTTGGAACAGGGGTTAGAGGATTTAATAATGTAGTAATTATTAGTAATATAATATTCTTATCATATTACTAACAATTACTAGTCACATGAAATTCTTATTTAATTTTGGTGCATACTGTTCAGTGTATATTAGACTGCCCAGAGTGGTATCAGTTTAGCCCCTCTAAACTGTATTCAGTTTATTATGATTCACTTCTAATAGATTTCTGAAAATCAATTCTTACTTGCCTGTGGGGGGTGGAAAGTGTTTCTGGCAAATGATTGCAAATACTGATACTATCAGAGATGGCCTGGGATAAATACCTTGTAAACATCTTTTGTAAAGTTCTTGCTGTTCCTGTCTCTCTGTCCTTGGTAAAACTGTCCAGTTGATCCTCCCAGCATAGAAAGCTCTGAGAGAGTAATCATCATTCTCTAACCTATGCAAATGATTTGGGGTAATAATTGCTTTTTAATTCCTCAGTGTCTGTCAAATGTCTTTTATATGTTTGTATTCATGTTTTATAAAATAAAGCTTTGAGTTTGTAATGTAAACATTTGTACCTAGCTTTTGTGCAGTGTGTGGGAAGTGCTTGTCTTTCCTGATGCTTCAGTTACCTAAATCTAAATGCAGATCAAGCTTTGTCATCAAAAAGGGTTAGTAAGTACTGAATGGCTTCTATCTTATAGAATTGTAACAAGAACAGGTGTGGAGAACAGGCTGGGGAGGAGGAGTTAATTGAAGACTGATATAACTTAAGATCTTCAATCCTGCAGTGATCCTGCTTCCAGGATCAATGCACCAGATTACACAGAAAACTGTTTGAGCCTGATACTCTAGGGGTGTGGTTACCCACTTTCTTTTTTATAGGTTCTCAGCAGGCTGTGGGCCAGCCTTTAAAGTTGTAAATCATGGTAACTAGAATACATGGAAGCAAAACTAGTAAAGCCCCAGTTAGGCTCCGGAGCAGCAAGAGACGCGCGGTTGAAAGCCCGCCACACCTCCACTTCCCCAAAGCCCCGCAGAGACCTCCCAGCAGCCACGGAGCCCCCCGCTGACACCCAGCACAGCCGGAGGCAAGTGGGGCCCATGGTGGGAGGGGGTTAACCCCTCACTGAGTGGAAGGAGGTGGCTGAGTGGTGCTGGGACAGGTCAAGCCCTGCCCAGGCCCGTACTTGGCTGAGCCCCCCAGGGAGAGAGAGAGGTAGGAGGGGGTACTCGCCAGTCCCACTCCAGTAGGGCAGGGCCCCCCCTTGCCCAAGAGCAGCTTTCCTCAAC